GCAGCCCAATGGTATCAATGTGGACTTCACAAGCTTCAAAATCTCCCCTCCCCCTACTGCATCCCAAAACCAGCCCAGCTCGTCCCTGCCTCCCTAACCTGTCCTTCCTCCCACCTATCCCCTCCTCCCACCTCAAGCCCCACCCCCATCTCCTACCTACTAACCTCATCCTGCCCCCTTGACCTGTCTGTCCTCCCTGGACTGACCTATCTCCTCCCTAACTCCCCACCTACACTCACCTTTACTGGCTCCATCCCCGCCTCTTTGACCTGTCTGTTTCCTCTCCACCTATCTTCTCCTCTATCCATCTTCTATCCGCCTCCCCCTCTCCCCCTATTTATTTCAGAACCCCCTTCCCCTCCCCCATTTCTGAAGAAGGGTCTAGGCCCGAAACGTCAGCCTTCCTGCTCTGATGCTGCTTGGCCTGCTGTGTTCATCCAGCTCTACACCTTGTTATCTTTAGATCTTAAGTCTTGTTAAGTTCTTGACAAAACTGCCTGCATGTCATTTCACTATTAAGGTATTTTAACAAGTGTTCAATCTCTGCCAATACCCATTGGAAGTAATTTTTAGAATTTTGCGTCTTCATTTTTTACCTCAGTACTAACAACAAATTGCATTTATATAGCACTGTGAATGTAGTAAAACCTCCCATGACATTTTGCAGGAACAATTATCAAACAAGCTTTGATGCTGAGCTACTTGAGATATCGAGATAAGTGAGCAAGAGTTTATTCAAACAAGTAGGCTTTAAGGAGCAACTTAAAGGAGGAGAAGAAGCTATGGAAGCATTCAGAGAGGAAATTCCAGGGGTTAGGGTCCAGGTAGCTGCTGATAGCCTGGCTGCCCTTGGAGTTTAAAAAAATCAGGAATGTGGAAGAGGCCGGAATTGAAAGTCGCAGAGGGTTGTATGACTTGAGGAGATTTAAATAAATAGGGATGGGAAAAGCCATAGAGGAATTTGAAAACAAGGAAGAAAATTTTAAAATTACGATGGAAGCTACTATAAGACCATAAGACATAAGAGTAGAAATAGACCATTCAGCCCATTGAGTCTGTTCTGTCATTCCATGCGATCATGGCTGATCTGATAATCCTCAACTCCACTTTCTTTCCTACTCCCCTTAACTCTTGATTCTCATACTGATTAAAAATTTGTCTGACTGAGCCTTGGATATCTTTATGACCAAGCCTCAACAACTCTCTGCAGTAAAGGATTCCCCACATATCTGAGAGAATAAATGCCTCCTCATCTGTTTTAAATGGGTGACCCCCAATCCTGAGATTATGTCCTCTGGACTCTCACAAGGGGAAACAACTTTTCTGCATCCACCCTAAGAATTTTTTGTGTTTCAATAAAATGGCGTCTCATTCTTCTGAACTTAAATACTACAGCCTTCTCGGCTTCTTTTCATAAGAATACTCACTGTAGGTTAATGAGCACAGAAAATATGTGAAAGAGGCTTGGCGCAAGATATAGTAATAGAGGTTTGGACATCAAATGTGCAGAAGATGAAATGTGGGAGGTCAGGCATGAGAACGTTGGAATAGTATCTAGAGAATTAAAGGCACAGATGAGGGTTCAAGCAACAGATGAGTTAAGGCAGGCAGATGAAATAGTCAATTTTTAAAAAATTGTTTAATATTTCAATACCAAGTCCAGTTTTTTTAATCCATCCACATTTTAAACAAAAAAGAAACAATTTTCTTGAGAAAAAAATCTGTTTAAAAATAAGTATCTTCATAAAAAGGGTTTTTCTTCTCGAGGCAATAGGAATATAATTATGCAGAAAGTTCACATTTGCATGAACTAAACTTAAATTACCGCTGCATGCTGTTGTTTGATTTTGTCCTTAATAGCAAGCAACATATATTTACAGAGGGGTGTTTTGCTGATTTTCCACAGCGTATGTATTTTCACCACATTATGGTGGATATTGCTACATTTTCCTGTTTAAATTGTGCATTTTTTATAGTCCATTCTATTAGTCAGATTTCCAACTATGGTCTGTCTCTATTTTTATATCTATTCAATGCCAATGTTTTCATTTACATTGTTAACCTAATGCTGGGCATGTGCCAAGATACTCGGGCCTCCAAGTGTTTTTGATAATACGACAAGTGAAGTGAGCATCAGTAAAGAGCAAAAAGGAATTTGTTAACAGGATTCACACCTTTAAAATTCTGAAAATTATAAATACAGAGTTCCTATAACTAACAGTTGTTTCAGGATTAGATGCAAGTGTGAATCTAGGAAGGTTCTGCTAATATGTCTAACAACAACATAATAATATCAACAATACAACAGGTGTAGAAAAGTCTCCCTCACATTACTACCCAGTCATCCAATAGTTACATACAAGTGACTGTAGAAAACCAGTGCAAAGAGCTAACCTCTCAAATGCAACCTGAATACAACACAAGGGCAAGAGACTGCAGTTGCAGCATAGTATGTCATAACTTGTAACTGCAAGTACATCCAACAGAAAATAATTCATATTGCATGGGCAATACAATAGTATTACACACTTGAAACTGGACATGAATTTAGAAATTACTAATGAATGATAAAACCGTGAGATTTATAGTGGGAGGACATGGGATATGCCTGCTCAGAAAATTTTTCACATTGTCAAATAAGTGCTGGCATTACTGGAACAGCTTAATTGGAGTTGCAGTTAGTTTTGCGTCTGCTGTGTTTGGAGCATTCAGCCCTTTCTTGCTGTCAAATGGAATTAATAAAATTGGGTGATTGTGGCGACCATTGGAGGAATCTGAGAAGAAACGTGTGCTTTGCAGTTCTGAGGAGAGGTCATTCGACCCAAAATGTTAACTCTGATTTCTCTCCATAGATGCTGTCAGACCTGATAAGCTTTTCCAGCAATTTGTGTTTTTGTTTCTGATTTCCAGCATCTGCAGTTCTTTCACTTTGAAGTTCTGTGTTCAATCTGACTTGTGCACACTTTTTGTTACTGTCATGGTTTCTGTGGATGTTGACTGCTGCATTATGAGTTGTGTGGGCTTTTCTCTCCATTTACTGCATGCTAATGAAAAGAACTTCCAACATCAGCCCATTTTTTTAAATTTATTCATTCACAGGATAAGGGTGTCACGACTAGGCCAGCATTTATGCCCATTCTTAATTGTTAAGAATCAATCACATTGCCCTGTGTCTGGAGTCACATGTAATCCAGACCAGGTATAAATGACAGTTTCCTTCCATCTGCCATGGTGGGATTTGAACACAGGTCATCGGAACAGTACCTAGGTCTCTGAATTAACAGTCCAGTCACGATACCACTAGGCCGTTGCCTCCCCATTAGAACAAACCAGTAAAAGCTTTCCAAGAACTGAAATGTAAC